GGTTGTTGTACATAGGGTCGCTATGAGTTGCAAACGACTCGACGGTACATAACAACCACCTAAATCTTGATTGTGTGAAGAATTCCTCAGATTTCTTGAAAATATTAAGTTTTTCATAAAAATAATCAGAATGAATTTCACATTTGTCTTACAAAAAACTCATTTTGTCCATTTTTCAAGAAGAAAAAAAAAAGGAATATTCCACTGCCTGAAGATCTAGCTCATGTCCAGGATTGTCAATTAAGGTATTTGAGTTGTGGTGCTGGAGAAGTCATTGAACATACTGTGGACTGCCAAGAGAACAATCAAGTCTGTCCTGGACAGGGTGAAGCCAAGCTGTTCCTTGGAGGCAAGGATTTTGAAGCTCTGACTCACATACTTTGAGCATAAGGCCAGGAAAGACCAATCTTTGGAGAAGGACATTATGCTTGGAAGGGTGGAGGAACAGCACAGGAGAGAAGAACCTGGATGAGATGGGTTGACAGTAACTAGAGTAATGGGGGTAGGTGTGTCAGAGAAAACGAATGACATTGGCTCAGGATAGAGCAGGATTCAGAGCTATTGTGCATAGGGTTGCTGTGAGTTGTGGTTGACAACACACATAACAACAATCAAGGCCATCATGGTGGGCAAAGTTTGAACTGCAGATAGCCACTCAAGAATGCTGGGTATTGCTTTACAAAAGATTTTCTTGAATTCAAAAGTTCCTTTACAGGGGCATTAAGAATGTTGATGCTATGTTTTAATAGCATCTGCAGCCTTTTTGGTCTGTCACTAACATCCTGAAAATATAAGAGTTTAATGTACTTTATTCATATTTTCATAAATAATCAATTTTCTTCTGCCTTTGAAACTGTTTGGTAAAGGTGAAAAATGGAGGTAAATAGAAGGAAAGTACTAAGTTTTTCAAACCATTGATGAAAAAGACCCATTCCCGTCTACATGAAACAGGTAAGTTTGTTTCTCTACACAGTTACAAACTATAGTGTTACATACACAGCATTAAATTCAACATTCTTCACACTAAAAATTAAAGTTATTGACTATCTAACATCTATACAACTTTGATCACATTTATGGAGACATGGGCATTTTCAAAATTACTTTTCTAAGCATTGCTTGACTTTGCCATATGGTTGAGCAGGAATATACAAATAGGCTTGTTAGCCTATCTATGGTAGGCTCGGCTATTTCACCAATCCACAAGGGGATTGGCTAGACTCACCATTAAACTGAGCAGATCAGCAGCAGAGGGAAGATCTTCTACCAGGAGAGAACCAGAGAATGCAGTTTCCTTCAGGGCATCAGAAAGAGTAGGAGGGCCTATGGGAGCAGCAGCCATGGCAGCCACAGCAGAGAACCGGAGACCTGACATGAGACGGGGCCTTGGGATGGCTACATCATTGGACCAGAGTTAAGAGCCTTTTGCCCAAGTCTGTTGTAGGACTGGGGAGGTGAGAATCAATATTGGCAGAATTTAGAACTTTGAGCCATGAGGCTCAAGGTTGAGGTTCCTGTCAGCACGTTTTAGCTCTCCTGACTATTCTGCTACTCACCTGAATTAGAACCTTTTGACTGTGTGGTCTTTAAGATATTGTTATCAGATTTTGGACTCAATAAAGCAGTAAGATTGGTATTGAGATGAGTAGCCAGAGGTATGGGAATGTGGGGGACAACACTTTGAAAGGATTTACACAGAGAAGTGCAGTCACACCTTAAGAGAAACTGTGCCACAAAATTACCTAATCGTGAAGGTGATACTCATCATGTTCAGCCCTAGGAACCAGCTAGGAAATATGGGGGCCCACCTACACATCAAACTACAGTGAGCTTCTACACTAGAGAGCTCTGGTGGCCTAATCTAAGGATATGCACTCCCAAACCAAAGGTGGCGCCTCTCTAGCGGTTATCAATCAACCAACCGCACTGCAGAAGATGAGCAAAGCCCTCCAGTGCAATGCATTGCCTTGGAAAATCCAGTTGAAGGTCACCTATGACTTGGTTTTGATTCGATGGCATTTAGTAGAGTTACGCTGTTGTGTCTTTCAGTCAATTACTACTCAGTGACCTTCTGAACAGATCAGAATCTGATTCTATTCTTTGCTGACACAACACTGTACTCACTGTATCATTGTATCTCCTTGTCAATACTCCTGACTCTCCACTTTTCTTGGCATAATGTCTTTTCCCAAGGACTGACTCCCTCTGACATATCCGACCAGATATGTGAGGAAGTTTCACCATCCTTGCCTCTAAGAAACACTTTGATTTCACTCCGTCAAAGACAGATTGGTTTCTTCCTTTGGCAGTCCATTCAGTCCTCTTCAACACAACTCAAAGGGGTCGGTTACTCTTTGCTCTTCCTTAAGCATTATCTACCTTTCAGATGCACAGGAAGCAAGTGAAAATATCATGGCTTCAATCAGGTTCACCACAGTCACACCACAATATGTAAATATGCCAGTATATGAGAAGTAGGACCATTTAAAGGAACACTATGTATTAATAGTTTGAGAAATATGAAATTAATACAGGGAAAATATTTCTGCATTAAATCAGATATTAATTTAAAATGGGTTAAATTTTATGGTAGAAAACAAAACTGTAAAAATAGCAGACAGAACCTTTTATCTTGGGATAGGAAATACCTTTATAAAAATGTAAGCTAGAGTTCTTCAGAAGAACTTGGTATATAAAAATATTTCTATTCAGGTAATGATGCAATTTTACTATAAAAATTCTTTGGGCAAGAATGAAAGAAAAGCACTGCTGTCGTTAATATGCTGTTCACTCACTTATTGCCATGGAGTTGGAAGTGACTCACATGTGACCCCTCCTGTAGTTTTCCACAGCTACAAATCCCATGAGAGGAAAGTGCTCATCTTTCTCCCAGAGTGATCAATGGTATCTAACCACCAAAAAGGCATGGCCTTTAGGTTCCAAGTGCAAGTTCTTGCCCCTAATGAACTTATTTTTTTAATAAACAAGAAATAATGGAAAAACTACTCACATGAGTGATCAAAGTACATGAACAGAAAGTCCTAATGTATGAAAATATATAAAGAAAGTGATTCACAGTCACTAATAATAAATGTAAATTACATATCGTTTAAAATATTAGAAAATTCATTAATGCAGAAACAATCCAAATTTTCTCAATGAAGGCAGTGACCACTGTTTCCCTTTCAGAACAATTTCTACTGGCCTAAATGAAAAAGTAATTTGGAATGTTCATTAAAAAGTAATTCATTTTAAAAAGTAATTTAGGATTAAAAACATCATTAAAAAGTAATTTGGCATTTTCAATTCATCTGAGTCTTATTCTATTAACCTCTCTTCCAACAGACCAAGAAATCCTAAACCACCCCATAACAAAACAGAATGACTTAGGCACAAAGGAACAAGTTCCAGTCAACAGTCATCTCCACCCACTGTCCAGATTAAAGAAAAAGAACAGAATATGCATTTATAAGGAAAATACAGTGGAGACTATTTCTCACCAGTCAGTAAGTAGCGACATGGTTGTTGGGCGCTCCAGACACTTGAAAAGCTGCTGTGGTAAATCATTTTAAGTTAAAACAATTATATTGAATACTGTGGCAGCCAAGATGAAAGGAAATCCAAAGTAAGCAAATAACCTAAATATTTTTAAAAATGAAACAAAATGGTATATAATATTATGGCAAAGGTAAACATTAGTGCCAAAAAACAAAGACAAAACCAAACTCATTCTTTAATGATATGATGAATACAAATTTATTACAAGGTCCATTTGCTAGTCCTGAGAATGAAGAAAAAAAAATTATTTAGACACAAAATCTGGAGAGCTCAAATAGCAGCAGCTGCACCATTTTACTCTGCATACAAAAGGGTAGCTGAATACTATCAGTAGTCCCCAAAACTAACTTCTTGGAGCCTTGGTAATGTTCCTGCTGCTCCCACTCACAAATGCCTCCTAATCAAGTGCCTCCACTTTCATAAACTATTGGAATTGACATGCATCGCACATCATTCAAAACATTCAATCATTTAAAAATGGCGTGTGTGCCATCAATCAGATCCGAATGGTACAGAAGGAGATTGCCCCTCCTTCTCCAGCAGAGTATCTGGTGGACTGAACTTTTAAAAATTGAACATGTTTAAAAAGAAGTAAAGAAAACTACTCCTTCTTTTTCTTTTTAGGCGAGTGTTCCAAGATTGGGGTAAATTCCATCTCCTCGTGTTTTCGCTTTCTTTTCTTTTTGTGGTCACTTTGGTAACCACTGGAGTCACTCCCGTGAAGAAGGGGGTCCTGGTCCTGATCTTCCTGGTGCTTGCTCTTCTTCTTTGGCTTTTGCTCTGAGAGCCCATCCACACCGTTACTCATCTGCTGGTCAGCTTCTTCCTTGGTGGTGACACCTACCAGCTCTGTGGTACCAGATGCCACTTCATAAGTCTCCAGGTCTTTCCTCTTTTTCTTTTTCTTCTTTGGAGGTTTTTCATCAGCTTCCTCTTTTTTCTTCTTTGGAGGTTTTTCATCAGCTTCCTCTGCAACTGGTTCTGTAACTTCTTCAGCAACTTCAGAGCTCTTGACTTGTAAACTGTAACAATTTAAAACATTGACATAGTAATCAGCAAAAAGATCAGCAATCATCCCAACATGCTGAGATTTTTCTAAGTAAAGCAGCAGCATAAACATGTAACCATGGTATAAAATTTCAAATAATTCTTCTTGTTATTCTCCAACCTACTGATCTATCCTGGAAATGGTAAAAGCTTCATTTCTAAAATAATCCTTCTAGCGTACTTTTACTACTTTTAAAAAGAGGAATAAAAAATCTTGTCAAAACATGCTTCCAATTTGGTTGGTTCATAAACTGTTCACTGAACATTATAAAACAATATCAGACCATAAATATTTGATAGAAGGAAAAAAATACTTTTTTTATCCATCAAAGTAACAGAAATTTTGACCCTTCTATAATTTCAGTCATAACATTTTGTTTTCCTATGTTTATGCCAAATCACTTGTGAATTACTTCAAAGTTATGAATAACTCTAAATCAAAAAAACAAAAAGATCAATGAAATAGTAGTCTTTCTAGAACTGCACAGTCTCATATAGTACACTGGCCACTTGCAGAGTGATTTAGTGATTAGGGAGCTCTAAGCTTATGCTCTCAATCCAAAAGTGGGTGGTTTGAATCTACCAGCTACTCCATGGGAGGAAGACAGGCAATCTCCTCCCCTATGATTTACAGTCTCGGAAAATCCTTTGGAGGATCAGCTACAAGTCCTTTCTGACTCAATGGCAATTAGTTTCAAGAGTCACTTGAGATCTTTTAAATTTAAGCAATTTAGACTAGATAATTTTAAAGAATTTATTTCCTTTGTTGCAGGCACAAAAACAGGAAGGTCAGTGACAGAGTCCATAGAAAGCTGTGCTGTTAACTCAAAGGTTTTATGTCTGAGGCTGTCTGGATCCGTTAGTAGCTCCTAGCGAGAAAGACAGGTAAGCCTTCCGTGTGAGTTACCATCTAAGAAAGCAGCTGGAGGTTCAAATGTGAGTCAGTTCCTACTCAATAGTAGTGAAGCTTCTTCATTAGCTTCATTTCAAGTGTTCAATAGCAAAGTTTCTTGTATTGTGTAAAAATAGCTCATTTCCACCACCACAGAAATTTCTAATGAACATCAATATGTGTTATATGAAATTACTAAAACTAAAAAAAGTGTTAACAAAGTCAATGTTGTTTCAAAAGACTAATTTTGCCCTTGTAAAATTTTATTCTTATGGAACCAAGTACAAGATTAAGAGTAATTTTAATTAGAAATCACCCAAAAATAAAAATACTGACCTAATAATAAAGCAAATTACTCTAATTACAATGTATAAAAATAAAAGCAGTTTCAAAACAACTATGAGATATCATCTCACCCCAGTAAGAATAGCAAAATTTAACAGAACAGCAAGCAACAAATGCTGGCAAGATTGTGGAGAGACTGGAACCCTTATTCACTGTCGGTGGGAGTGGAAAATGGTGCAACCACTGGGGAAGGCGGTATGGCGCTTTCTCAGAAAGTTGCAAATAGAGATACTATTTGACCCAGTAATTCCACTACGGGGAATATACCCCAAAGAGACCATAACTATCCAAGCAGACATGTGCACGCCTATGTTCATCGTGACTTTGTTCACAATTACAAGGAATTGGAAACAACCTAAGTGCCCATCTACAAACGAATGGATAGAGAAGCTGTGGTATATTCACACAATGGAATACTACCCTACATTGAAAAACAAAGAATTCATGTAATATTATTCAAATGGGTGACCGTGGAGGACATTATGCTGAGTGAAATATCTTAGTCACAAAAAGACAAATACTGCACACAGTGCTACTGTTGTAGAATGGGACTGATATCAAGGTTGGGGTAAGGCTGAGAAAAACTAGATAAATTATGTATACTAAATTGAAACAGATGAGAGAGAGAACAGTTTAAAAGTGATATATGATAGGGCATTATGGTTATCATAAGAGTCCAGAATGAAGATTGCATAGTGGAGTGTACTCAGGGCGGGGGAGGACTGTAAACCAATGAAGGAAGTTTTCTTTTGGTTTTCAAAGAGAAGAGTTAACTGGGGAGGAGGGGTGGGCAGGGAGAAAAGTACAACAATGAATGAATGAATGGAAATCCCAAATCTCTGTAAATGTTAATTAAAATTAATAAAATTTTAAAAAAATTTAAAAAAGTTTAAGTCAATACAAAAAATTACAAATTTAACAGTTTAAAGTACAGAGATCAAAGTTTTTAAAACTAACTACTACAAAACAAAATATGAGCTGCTAAAAACAGTAAGTTAGACACTAGGCTTTAGAATCCCTATATAATGAATTTTAGAGTACTTACTTTCCATTTACATTAAGATCAAGAACCATAAATTTGTTGCTCTCTAAATAAAAATTCAACAGAAATGACTAAGTACTCAGCAATAACAGGGCTGACAATTTAACTCACCTAGTAACGTTCAGTTTTCCCCGAATGCAGAACACTCCAGCAGCATCGGAGTCTAAACGGAATACTTCAAATTCTAGTTCATCTCCTACGTTTATCTCCAGGGCTTGCCACTGCTCAACTGGCATCTGTTCAGGTTTAGGGATCGAGGCATTGAAACATCCATGTACTAAACAGCCTATGTGGCTGGAAGACACTTTATTAACTGTGCCCTAGGAAGAAAACAAGACTCTTAAAAGATGAAAGTTTTATAAGCTCAAATGATCTTCAAAGAAAAAATAACAATTAGACTTATAATGTAGTATGAAACATGCTTATAGTACAAGCCAAAGTAAAATATTACATAAAAAAATTGTGAAACTTCTACCATCTCCACTCCAGAAAACCCCATCCTCCTCCACTACAAAAACCCCAAACACCTTGGCTTCCACGGCAAGATTCCTTGGGAAGTAGATTACTTAACCATACTGAAATCAAGCAGAAAATACACCTTGATAAGACCTGCAGGTGAAAGTAAGCCCCCAAATGCAGGGCCCACACTATACTGCTAACAGAATGAACCATAAAGCTGAAGAGCACTCCTTAATGATTCAATTTAGCATAATGTAAGTAGTCTTATTTTAAGCACTGCATTTTGGATAATATAAAAACTTAAAATGAAAATTTGCAAAACACTCAGTATTTCATTTTCCCCTTCTCTCTACTTGCTACTCAGTCAGAACCAAATCATAGCTGACACTCCACTGGGATTCTAGGTGTAAACAAAGGACACTGTCTTTGCCATTGCTGGTAGATTAAAACTAAGGGCCCAAAGGGGCCCTTTAGAGTAGTGAGAGAAGATCTTTACCCTGAAACCCACAGCGTCCCTTTTCAGCAGGAAGTAGCTAAGAGAATACGCCATCCCCTTTTTCTTATGAATCAGGGTGAAGTCTCTCTCAGGGAGGAGTGATAGGGAATGGCAAAAGACACACTGACAAAGAAGATTAATCAGAACCGGCTTTGACAAGCACTGTGGCAATTGGACAATTAAAACAGACATTCGGTGGGGGGTGGGGGGAAGAAGAACGAACTGGGGAGGAGGGTAGAGAAAACAGTGCAACAATGAATGAATGAAAATCCAAAATCTCTGTAAATGTTCATTAAAACTAATAAAATTTAATAATAATTTAAAAAAAAAACAACTAAGAGGCATAGATTTTGGGTTAGCAGGACAACTACACACAGACAATGCCACTGGTGTTTCCTTTTCTCCTGGAATGAATGAAAAGGATGAAAAGGAACCCTGGTGGTAGAGCTGTTAAAGCACTTGGCTGCTAAAGAAAAACTCATGTTTCAAATCCATCAGCCACCATGAGGTACAAAGACATGCAGCCTACTTCTGCAAGGACTTCTAAAGGCAGTTATACTTTGTCCTCAAAGAGCTGCTATGCCATGGTCTTTTCAATTCTTTGCTGTGCATTTAAAAGCTGGATGGTAAGTAAGGATGACAGAAGAATCATCGATGCCTTTGAGTTGCAGTACTGCAGAAGAGTACTGAATATCCCATACAAAAGAACAAATATGTCCTCAAAAGAGTGCAGACAGTGTGCCCCTTGGAGCTCAGGATGGTGAAACCTTATCTCATGTCCTCGGGGCATGTTATCTGAATGGGGCCAGCCCTGCGAAAAATATGATCATTTTTGGAAAAGTAGAGGGCCAGACACAAAGAGGAAGACTGTCAACAACATGGATTGACACAGTGACTTTAACAGGGATGTATCAGAGATGAGTGTTATCATGGAAGAGGAACTTACTTATGTTCAAGTATGAAAAGTGAAAAATAGTAATTTTATTTTATTTTATTATTTTTGTGTGCGTGTACCGTCAAATCAGATCTGACTGGTACAGGAGGAGATTGCCCCTCCTTCCCCGGCAGAGCATCTGGTGGATTCGAACCGTGCACCTCTGGGATTGTAGTTGCAGCTTCTTGCCACTAGGCCACCAGAGCTCCCCCCTCCTCAATTTCCTAATGTTACCTTCACAGTGAGCATTTCCTTACTACCTTATACAAAACCCAACCTCTTTTATTCTTTTTAGTACTCCTCATCCAAATTGATACATGTTTTACTTTTTGGTAACTTAATAAGTAACCCAGAAGCCCAGGGATGAAGAGCTGTGCTGCTAAGCCAAAGGCAAATGGCTTGAATCTACCTGCTATTCTGGTGACAGATGGGCAATCTTCTCTCTGCAATTTAGTGCCTTTGAAAATCTGCTGGAAGGTCAGGTGTGAGTCGGATCCAACTTGATAGAATATAATACCATCAGTTTCCTTTATGTATACTCCAAAAGAAGAGAATTTCTTTTGTACAGAGCGATGTCTTTAGAACTTTTAATAGTATTTATACAGCGGGTGCTCTCAGTAAATAGATGCTAATGAAAAACAATATAAAAGGAAACTGACTGTGCTTTAGCACAGAAGCTTCTGTTTCAGATCAGGCTCTTTATTTTGTCCGCCAATATTCTGACTTCTCAATCATATTCTTCAACATATACATTTGTGAACACTCACTCACCCAACACACAGAATTGCTACTCCCAATTCTTGTCCCCTGCCATTTTGGAAAGATCCTCTAAAAGGAAGACCACCATTAAGAAATATATCAACAATCTTGGGCGTTAATGTGACCCTTTATAGACATAAAAACAGAACGCCAAATTGCTGAAATGAGGAAAATAAAAAGCATAAAGAATCAATATAAATTTCAATAGATCTAAAAAGAAAGACATCATTTAAAAATAACAACATTACATTTTAATTGTAAACTTCAGAGAGATACAAATTCATCCAAAAACAAAAAAGTTTTTCTGGGGAAAAACAGTAATGGAACACATGAACTGCCAATACAAAAGTACTCAGTTCAAATCCACCAGCTTCTCTATGGGATAAAAATGGACATTAAACTGTGCAATTTGCTTCCTCTGTAAAATCAGCTATGGGTCGGTCCCAATTCGAAAGCACACAATAACAATAACAAAATGAAATATAGTTATTTCAAAAAGAAATGGCAGGAGTAGAGGAAAAATGTTGAGGACTGATTCACAAAAGAACAAATAAAAAGATCAGGATAGAAAAATACAGGTATAAAGTTAAGTACTAAATCAATGCAGGAGAACCAAATTTTATCAAACAGAACTTCCAGGAGGAGGGAAAGAAAATTAAAGAAGAAATTATCAAATAAATAAAAGTGAGTTTTTTGAAGACAAATGATATTTCAGATGAAAATAGCACAGTAAAACTCTTGAAATAGTACAATTTCATAAATCTAACAGTAAGGTGCACCTAATTCAAGCCATGTTTTTGCCAAACACCTTGTATGTATCTGAGAGCTGGACAATGAATAGGGATGATAAAAGAAGAATCAATGCTGTCCTTTGAACTGTGGTGTTGGAGTAATGAATATTCATCCCCTAGACTGCACAAAAAATCAAACAGATGTTGTCTTGAAGGTGCAGAAAGAATACTCTTTGGCAGCAAGGATAGCAAAGCTTCGTCTCATACTTTGGGCATGCTGTTGGGAGGCTCTTCTGTGCAAAGACACATGATGCTTGGAAAGTGGAGGGTCAGTGAAGGAGAGGAAGACCCTCGGTGAGTGGACTGATATAGTGATTGTGGCAATGAGTTCCAAATGTGTCTGGAATGACAAGGATGGTGCATCACTGGGCAGGGTTCACATCTGTTGTTCAAACACAACCCAACAGCACCTAACAATAAAAAAAAAAAAACAAACCCAAAAAAACCTCCCCAAAACAAACCAAACCATAACAATTTGTAAAGTTGTTTTGTTTTGTTACCGTTAGAGTAGATGTTAGGAAACACTGGAACTTTAACATTATTCAAGAGAATTACTTGACACCAAAAAACCAAAACAAAATAAATGACATTCAGTCAATGGGAATAGAAAAAAAGGAAGGAAGAAATAAAAAAAACATCTAAATTGCTTGAAAAAAAGGTATAACCTGTTATTATTTGCAGGTAACATGACTGCATACAAAGTAAACTCTAAAATATTGACCAAAAGAACAAGAAAGTGAATTTACTAAGGTCACAAGATAAAATTAAAAACAATTCAATATCCTCTACAATACCATCAAAGAATAATATACTTTGGGATATATTTAACAAAACACATGCAAGATTTCCAGGTTCATGGACTACAGGACTCAAGTATCTTGAATGTAAAAACAGAAAGAGTTGGTCTAAATATTCAGTCCAATCACACAAAAATCTCAGCTATTCTGGGAGGTGGAGTGAGCAAGCTAAATCTATCATTTATAGGGTAATGCCTGTAATATACAAACATAATCTTTTGGGGAAAACAAAGTTCACCCAATACGGTGCAAGTTTGGTTTTGGCATAAAGATACACAAACAAATCAAGGGAATAAAGCCTAGAATTAGACCCAAATTCATAAAGTCAAACGATTTTTAACAAAAGCCTTTGTCAGAATTCAATAGCGAAGAGTCTGCAATATATGAGACTCACACAAATGGATAGTTAGGTGGAGGGGGGAAATGCATCCCAACCTCTACTATACCCTAAATACAAACACCTGGTCCCAGACTTAACAGAGCTAAAACTACAAAGCTGTTTCAAGAATATTTAAACAAGCTGGAAATAGGCAAGTTTTTATCAACAGGATTCCAAAAGCAATAACCATTAAAAGTATAAACTGATACGCTGAACTTCATAAATCAAAACCTTTTATTCAGAAGAGTTAACAGACAAGGCTAACAATAAAAGAATCTATATTTCACACACACACAAATCTGTTTAATATTATAGACGGCATGTAGAGGAATAGGTGCAGGTAGAGAAGAGAAAGCACTGTGATTGTCATGTAAGAAATCAAAGTTTTCACAAAAGAAAACCCACTCCCTTCAACAAAAAAGCACATTACAATACATGGAAAACTTTTATTCACAAAGGAAAGAGTTACAGTTAGATCAGAGCTTCAAGTGACCACTGGTTTCCTATGCAGAACTTCCTGTGCCAGCTGGTTGAGGCACATCTTTTAAGTGCTGGAGTCAAGAAACCCTGTTACTTCTTCTACGTAAAGAAAAGAGAAGTAAGATGGGTAGGTGCCACATGGTGTCAACACAAGAAATTTCTGAGCAAGCTACTGTGTGACCAGGGCAGTAGTGCTTCTCAGGTAAGAAGAATGTGAAAGAGTGAGATTTCCAATTTCCAGCTTCCTTATCAGAGTTGTTCTAGACTCAAGGCATATACATGAGTGGCCTGGATCAAAGGCAAAGAGACTCCAACGCAGACCACCATCTCCCTAATCAATAATAAAAAGAGAGGGGGGGAAAAAAGCCAACCCAAAAATGGTAAAATGACTTTTAACAAGCCCCTTACATGTAAACAGTGAGGACTTTTAACAGAGCCCTGCCAGCTTTTGAATGGGACTTACTTCACAAACCCAAGTGGTAGAACCTCCAAAATCAAAGCTTATGGCAACTCTTTAAACCTGAAACTGAATTCAGTCCTGGGGTTCAAACAATGGACAGATCTGTAAGATGACCAAGAATACCAGGAAGATAATCAGCACTCAGAACATTCAAGCCCACTCATCACAAAGGCAGCATTTGCCAAAGGATAAAATTCAGAAGGTAGGGAGAAGGGGGGATGAATGGAAACAAGAACCACAGAACACAGTCAAGAGTGATGATACCATGGGAGGACTGTAATCATTGTTAGAAAACAAAATGTGTATGAATGGCTGAATGGAATATGAATTTGCTCAGTAAACTTTAACCCAAATCACAATAAAAAGCTGAAAAGGAGGAAACAGAGGATCTTTGCAGAGTGGTTCCCTACCTCACTTCATCATTTCAATCCCCCAACACCACTTTACATCAGCACCGCTGGATACCTCACAGTCCTTGTTTCTGCTCCAGTGCCACGAAGCAGCAGCCTCTCCCCCATGGTCACCATGACAACCACATCCCCAGTGAATCAGAACTAAATCAAAACTCTGAGGCAGCCATCAACATGAGCTCAATCTGGAGCTCTAGGCCTTCTCTGCCTGTTCATGCCTTGGACCATGATGATGTGGCTTTGAAGAATTTTGCCAAATATTTTCTCTAATCTCACAAGGAGAGGAAGCATGCTGAGAAACTGATGAAACTCCAAAAACAGTGAGGCAGCCACATCTTCCCTCAGGACATTAAACCAGATAGACAATTAGGAAAGCCAACTGACACAATGGAGTGTTAGAAAAAACCATCAATAAGTCCCTACTGGATCTGCACAAATTGGCCATTGACAGAAAAGTCCCCCATTTTTGTGACTTCATTGAGACACATTGCCTGGATGAACAGGTGAAACCCATCAAGCAGCTGGGTGACTGCGTAACTAACTTGTGCAAGACTCACCCAGGACTCTGGCCTGGCAGAGTATCTCCTTCATAAGCACACTCTAGGAGAGAGTGACAGAAATAGCAGAGCAAACCTTGAGCCTGGCTTCCCCACAGCCATAGTGGTTCCTTCCATGTTTACCACCATTGTCACATGCATGCTGGGCTTATTTTATCTTTTCTAGAAATTGTACCAAAACACCCACTTAAGTTCTTTCATTTGTACCATTTCTTCAGAGACAGTAATCTGGTATCCAGCTGTTGTCTTAGAGACCTTGGTAGGCTAGAAGTCTATCTAAGTCATCTTGGCTAAATTCTTTAATCATCAGGGTTTTTGCTTCAATCACAATAAAAATATACTTACAAGGATTTTTTTTTAAAAAGGGAAATGTAAAGATAAATAAAACTTTAAAAGAATTTATGTAAGGGATCTCTGGTGGCACAGTGGCAAGAAGCTATGTTCCATTCCTGAAGGCATGTGGTTTGAATCTACCAGATGCTCAGATGGAGGAGGAGGGGCAATCTCCTATACCAGTTGGATCTAATTCGACAGTACACAACAACAACAAAAAAGGACTTAAGTAATTTGAACTGATGAAATATAACTTTTTAAAATAGTTTCTCATTCATAAGAGTAATTAATTTAAGGCATCCTACTTGTTATTGTTATTGGGTGTCACAATGGCAATGTGAAACTCATAAGGCTCATGGAAAAGAACATAAGCTGCTCCATAGGGTTTCCTGGCTCTCTGTGGAGTCACTCTATTGTACATAGGGTTTTCGAAGACCTGTTATTTCAGAAGTGAATGGGCAATCAAATACTTTCAAATCAGCAACCTTTTAGGAAGCAGCCGAGTGTGTAATGGTTGCATCAGAAAGATGACTACCTTAAGATGTACACATTGTCTCAAAATTTTCCCAATTATATAATTATTTGCAGAAACCAGGAAGAAATGATATACATACCATAAGCTTTTGTCCTGGTTCAGGGCAGAAAACAACAAAATCTGCTTCAATGTTAAAATGAATGTGTCCTTGATCATCATAAATATCTCCTAGTTCACCCACTGCTTTGATGTTATCATATGCCACAGGCACACCTAAAAGGCTGCAGGAAAAAAAAAGTATAAAATTAACAATTTCATCCTCTTTCCAACTCAGACATTCTCAAGCTGATTAGATACTAACAGTCCAGAAAACTATTCATTCCCTAATTATAACCACCCATGACAAAACACAAATCATTAGTGTACAGAACACTTTTCGTAATTCAATTTTACTAATGGGTTTTATTAAATCAAAACTTAGTAATTTAACAAAATATTTAATTATAACATTAGCAATATGTTGATTCTTATCTGCTGCTCATTGGATGGCCTAGTGGTTAGGAGTTGCACTGTCAACTCACGGCACGTGCTTCAAATCTACCTGGTGCTCAGTGGGAGAAAGATGGGCAATCTCATCCCACGTGATTAACTGCCTCTGAAAATCCACTGGATGTCGGCTATGAATTGGTTCTCATTTGACAGTACATAATAACAAGTCTAGGATAGTAGAGGTTACACAGCAATATATTAGTTATAAAAGGGGAAGTACTGGACCTAATAGAGTTGAGAATTGTTCACTAGAGAACATGCTATTAGAGGCTAGGCATAAAAAAAGTTGTATAAATCCATTAGACATCTATGAATACAAACAACAGTAAATAACTTATAAAAAGGGAGCCCCGCTGAAAAAGTGATTAATACTGGGAGGTTGTTAGGCACCAATACGTGAACTGACCCAGAGTTGACCCTCCAGAGGGTTTTCAGAGGCACTAAATTGCAGCTTAGGAGAATGCCTATCTTTCTCACACGGAGCTGATGTGAGTCAATCAAAGTGCCTTTTGGTTGGCAGTACTGTACCTTTTCACTAGACTACCAGAGCTAGCAGCCTGATTCATAGTCTATTCCATGTGACAAAGAGAGTTAAGTGTCCTCCAGTAGAGATTTACAGCTTATTAAAACAGACAAAGGGTCACCATGAGTTGGAACCAACTCTACAGTAGTGAGTTTAATGGCACAGAGGGATACATCTTGTGCTGCTAAGGGAGAGGCCAGTGGTTCAAAATCACCAGCTGTTTTGAGAAACAGAACACAGTCTCCTATTGAGGGAATGGGTGTTTTTTTTCTGTTGTATTTACTAATTCAATGACACCTAACAACAATTTTAACTTAATATAATTTCAAATTTTAACATGTGCTTAGATTTATCTTACATTTATATTCCTCTATTAGATAATAAAACTCCTTGAAACAAGAATCTCATATTTTCTATGTTGCATACCAAATCACCGGCGGAGAGAGAAACTGTTGGTGCTGCAGAAGTTATGCAAGCTTGAATGACAGGTTAATCTTAACTTTAGGTTCAAGACTCCTTAAAAAAGTGGTGACAAGTTCTGGGTATTTTCTCCAAAGGAAATTTCTGCCTTGTTCTTGAGGAGGGGGTGAGGGCAAGAGCCCCAAAATTGCTAAGGTGCAATCCTGATTTCCTAAAGAATCCATTTAGGTCACTTTAAGAAATCACCCTTTAAAAAAAAAAAAGATGGAAATCACGCTTTTGAGTAATTCTGCCACATATGAAGGGATATCTTTTTTCCACCTGCAGACTGAATATTCAAAGTATTATTCATTATCTTACGTCCCCGCCCCTCAGGAGCAATTAGAAAAATCCGTTAGTCTGGCTACTGATCTTAAAAAACAAAACATCTCATTCCTCATCAGACACCACCAACCATGTCGGTTCTGCAATCACTAGGGCAAACACTTGGAAAACTCCCAGCCAGTCACGTTTTACTATTATGTCACAGTACTCTTGCGTCCTGTAGCATCACGGACTCTGCTGAAGCACTGCATTCCAAACTCTGCCTTGATAAACGAAAACGTAACTGCCAGGAGCTACATGAAACGTTCGCTGCTAAAGACCTCCAGTTCTTAGTTCTTTCTGGAGTGCGCTTCGCTACTACTCCCACCTACGGAAATCACTTCTCTTCCACTTGTCTTCCAAGACTTTGAAAGGGACCCTGCAAAATCCTCGACCACGGAGGACTGGCTTTCTAGGGTGGCTTAAGACTCCAGACCTCCGCGCTCGTTCCAGCTGGGCAGGTGCGACGTTCTCCGCTTCTCCATTGGCTGCCCCCTTTACCTCCCTCCTAATAAAAAGGGGCGTGAGATTACGCCCCACGTGATGACGTCGTCGCTAAAGTGAAAAAAAAAAAAAAAAAAAAAAAAAAAAAAAAAAACAACCCAACAAAGATACTGGTACCTCTCGGAATAGCGTAGGAGCTCGGCGTTGAGCTGTTCGCGGATGCCGGTGCGCTTCCTGTTGAGGTATCGTGGAGACAAGGCGATGTGCCTCTGGTGCTTCCTGGCCACCAGGCAAGAGTTGGGGCTACTCACGAGCGCGCAGGCAGCTGCGTAGGTTGGCAGCTCCAGACAAGGCAGGACGCCAGCCGGTCCCCCCACGGGCGCTTCGGAGGCAGCCTTTGGCCGCGGAGCCTCCGGGCCGCCCGCAGCCATGCAGCTTCTCCGTTTCCTCCTCGACGCACGCTACTGACGCACGTCTAGTCTTACCCACTCCGACGCCTACTTTTAACGTCATCCGGAAGTTGCCCCGCCTCCCGCATTTTTCTCTCCTCGAGCTGCGTTACGCACGCCTGACCAGCAGGGGGCAGACTTCTTTTCGTGCTTCCTAGTCTTGGGCTGCAGACCCATCATACTGGACTTGGGGCCGCTCACTTTCTAGCGCTTAAAACTTGGATTTAACAACAACAATAATGTCGTTTTCCTGTTTAATGAGAGGCTGCATTATCTCCAGTCGTCATGGCTTTAGCCAAGCTCAAAACTCAAGCTCATTTCCGTGGAGTCGGAACCGATTCGTAGCTGACAAGCAGAGGATTTTCAGAGGCTCTGAACCGCAGGAGGAGATTGATTGTCCACGTTTCTTCTGCAAAGCAGCTGTTGGAGCAAGCACAACTCCTTACCACAGCTGTGTTTTATAAATGCTATAAATCTGGACAGTACAATAATCAATAACTATCTGTGGAGTATATTTTATGCACTAAATCCAATCCGAAAAAGCAGCTCTAGATACCTAAAATGCAACAAATCTGAAAGAGAACCCAACATCTCCCTCATTAACGTAGATTCTCTCCTTATTCGATAATCGCAAATTCAGGTAAATATAACCTTGAAGTGGTTCAGGCCACCTATCACGCTGGACGCTGCTTCTTTACTTAAAGGCTGCATCATTCATTCACAAGGCTTGGGACTCAAAGAGGAAACATCTTCAACTCTCCAAACTCTGGTCAAACTACAGAGCACTTTCTTGGGTGAAACAGCCTAATGATCTCTTAAGCTGCTTGGAAAGTGTCAAAGAGGCACAAAATAACCTAAATGTGCATTTGAGTGGTTATGTAGAAAGCAATCCAGTCAATATGGTATCGTTGAGAGGGGTCCAGTGCCAATGCTGTCTCAGGCAACATGCATTCCTGCCATGTTGTCGTTTGTTTTTGTGTACCTTCTAGTCGGAACCAACCCATAGCTGATCCTCCAGGGGGTTTTTAGAGGCAGTTATAATTGCTCAGGAGGAGATTGCCTAGATTCGAACCACTAGTCTCTGAGATGACAGTGCAGTTTCTGGCCACTAGGCCCCCGGAGCTCCGTGCCATATACTATTTTCTGCTGTTTCATATTTAAATAAATGAGAACTTGCAGTATCGCTTGAAATTTCAACTTTCTCATCTGTAATAAAAACAATATCATGAAATAGCAGAGTTAGTGGACTTAATTCAGACAGTGGCAGTGTAATTCTCACTTCCTCATTGTCATTGATGGTTTTAATGTTGAAAGCAACATTGCTGATGTCAATGGATCTTGGCTAACAGTAGAGAATACCAGCAGAATGTCTATTTGTCTTTGATTGACTATGCAAAGGCCGTGAACTATGAATCATAACAAAATATGGCTAATCTTGAGAAAAGGAATTCCACAAAACTTAATTATGTTCAAATAAAATCTCAACCTAGCTATTGTCCGAACAAAGCAATGGAATATTGCCTGGCTTAGAATTGGGGAAAGAGTGTGTCAGGGCTGTATCCTTTCTCAAAATCTACTAAATCTGTATGCTGAACAAATCATTTGAGAAGCTGAACTTTATGAAGAAGATTGTGACATCAGGAATGGAAGAAGATTCATCGATAACCTGCACGATGCAGACGATACAACCTTGCTTCCTGAAAGTGAGGAGAAATTGAAACACTTGCTGCAGAAGATCAAAGATGCTATTGCTTTTGATATGGGTTAGAATTTTTTTTCTATATTTTGTTAATTTTCATAAACATTTACAGAGATTTTGGGTTTCCATTCATTCATTGTTGCACTATTCTCTCTACCCTCCTCCCAGTTTGTTCTTGTCCAAATGCCACAGTGCTTGTCAAAGCCAGTTCTGATTAATCTTTTTTGTCAGTGTGTCCTTTGCCATTCCCTATCACTCCTCCCTGAGAGAGACTTCACCCTGAGTCATAAGGAAAAGGGGATGGCGTATTCTCTTAGCTACTTCCTGCTGAAAAGGGACGCTGTGGGTTTCAGGGTGAAGATCTTCTCTCACTACTCTAAAGGGCCCCTTTGGCAGTAGGAAACACATAGACTATTATGGAGATTGATTTTGGAATTTAGATGCACTCTTATTGATTGTGCTTGGCCGTACATGTTCATATCCTTGAAGATGTATCATGGGGGTGTTGCAACCTAGAAGACACAAATTTGACTAACAAGTTATAAGTACATGAGTCCAAAAATTATGGAAAAGTAAAAGAAAAGATTCTTTCATTGTTTTACAAACCCTCCCCCAGGTCCCCTCCACCATGTAGCCCTCACTCTAGTCTCCTGTGATGACAGAAATACCTAGTTATATATCTCTTTTAAACAGTTTTCTCCCTCCTCTGTTTCAGTGCAGTATACATTATTGAACCCATCTTACTCAGTCTCTCCCCAACCCCAAGGACAGTCCCATTCTACAACAGTGGCATCATGTAATATTTGTCCTTTTGTGACTGGGATATTTCACTCAGCATAATGTTCTCCAGAAAATTCTCACTAGTGGGTTTATAGGCAACATCAAGACAGATGGAGAAAGATTGAAATTGTCAATAATTTCATTTTGCTTAGATTCACAGTCAACAATCTCCTTGGTACCAGCTGCCAGGAGATCCAGAGACGTATAGCATTGGGAAAGTCTACTGTCGGGGATCTCTACTGTTGGGGATCTCTCTGAAGAGTAGTGATGTCAGTTAAAAACTAAGGTGCACCAGATATAAGCCAAAGTCTTTCCAATCACTTGTTATTAATCTGAGAGCAAAACAATGAATAAGGGTAACAAGAGAATTGATGTATGTGAGTTGAAATGCTAAAGAAGAGTGCTGAAAGGAAGACCAGAAGAACAAACTGATAAGTCTCAGATAAACTTCAACAAGAATGTTCCTTAGAGGAAAAGATGGTGAAAGTATGTCTCATATTTTGGACATATTATTGTGAGATGCTCTTCCTTGGAAAGGAACAGACATTATATTTGGAAAGATCGAAGGTCAGCAAAGGGGAGGAAGATCTTCAAAGGGATGGATTGATGCAGTCTTTAACAATTGGTTCAAATGTGTTGTGAATAATAAGAATAGCACAGGATAAAAACAGAGTTCAGATCTGTTGTTCATAGGGTCACTATAAGTCCTACTCAACTTCATGGCACTTGACAACAAAAATAACATTGTTATTGTTGAATTAGAATGGTCTCACTGTTGTCTCTGAAAGAGTGATTCTAGAGGCTGCAAATCACAAGGAATTGTGACTCCATCCTTTTCCTGCGGAGCTATCAGTGGGTTCAAACAACCAGATTGGCATGACTTTTTGGTTGGCAACAGAACTTCCTACATCATGATGGTGTTTCTGTGTCCTGTAGCGTTGCAACCAATGCATAGTTGACCCTCCAGCTATTTAAAAGACAGTGTCATGGGAGGAGATTGCTCATCTTTCTTCCACAGAGCACATGTTGGATTCGAAAGGCATACCTTTGTGTTGACAGTACCAGTCCTTACCCCTAAAGCACCAGAGCTGCCTACAGCATGATAAACAGATAAAAAATTGAAATTGTCAATGACTTCATCTTTCTTGATCTATACTCAACACTTTTTGCACCAGCAGTCAATAAATCAATAGACATGTTTCATTGGGAAAATCTTCTGTCAGGGACTTCTCCAAAGTACAGAGGAACAATGATCTTACCTTGAATACTAAGATGTTCCTGATTCAGGCAATGATCTGGTATTCATCTGAGAGCTGACCAATGACTAGGGATGCCAGGAAAAGTTGATAGCTTTGAGTTACGGTGTTGAACAAGAGCACTGGAAATCCCATGGACTGTCAAAAGAACAGATATGACTTGGAAGAGGTACAGCCCAAGGTCTCCTTAAAGACAAGGATGCCAAAGCTTCCTTTCACATGCTTTGGGCATGTTTCTAGGAGGAACTATTCCTTGGAAAGGGACATGATGCTAAGAAATGTGGAAGGTAGATTAGAGAGAAAGTAAAAGAAACAAGTAACAATACTGGGAGAGGTGAGACAGAGACACAAAAGAGGACACCATGTTTTGGAGAGTTTCAGTCATTGGACAGATGGAGATGTCCTCTTCTTGGAAGTGGGGGAAATGGGCCTGCAGGTGGGAGGAATGAATGGGCAATTTGGACACGTAAATAAAGAGATTGAAACTCGAAAAAAAAAAAAAAAGAAATGTGGAAGGTCATTGAAAAAGAGGAAGATCTTTAATAAGATAAATTGACACAGTTACTGCAACAATGGGCGCAAGTATGTCAGACATGATAAGGATGACACATAATAGGACAGAGTTCAGACCTGTTGTTCTTATCTATAGTCACACTCATCTCAATGGCATAGAACATCAGGCTACCATTAAGCCCAATGACTGACATAGGTGTATTCTGTGATGTCATCTTCTCTCTCTCTTTTTTTTTTTTAGTTTGCAATTGGTGCCTGTGGTGTTATAAAACCTAATAACTGGCATTTCTAGATATTATCTTAGCCTCAACTGGGTAAAGATGGGGACATTGTCTCCAGATACCTTATCCACAGACACATGGTCTTACAAATCATCAACAGATGTGGGACCAATATGAGAAAGAAAACTTTGTACACTTATAGAAGTTACCTTGATGATGTGATAGAGTCAAGGCTGTGGCACTGCTGTGAAGAGACTGTGGCAAGGTATAGCCAGAGAAACACTGTTTTTATGCTACAGTTAAATGTTTTACTTGCTGGATAATTGAAGGCAAAGTTGATTTGTAACTGCTCTGAGATAAAGTTTGCAGGGTGATACGGAAATCAGAGGTTTCTTGCAACTCCACTGCTGAACTGAACCCAAACTGTCACTGATTGAGGAATTTTGCCTTGTTAACTGGCTTGGGACTACTGGACTAAACCTGGACTTGCATTGTGTAATATTCTTTGCCTTC